TGCTGAGGCACGGAGGAGAATGAGCTCGTGGGGATCGCAGGTGGACCTGGCCGATGAGTTGAGAAAGGGGCTTTCCCTCTCACGCTCATCGGCGGCAGGCGAGAAACAGCCGCCGGAGGATGATGTTCTCTCTTTTTCAATGTATGCTTCAGACACGGGTCACGACGAGGCGTTCCCCCATAGCGACCCCTAGAGGACGCAGTGTCTCGTTCCCTACTCAGGGAACCATGGTTACATAAGTAACCTGAGACGTTTCGATATAAGCCAAGAGGAGAATGTTTTTCCTTTGCTAAAGTAAGGAAACTTTGTTTCCTTTGCTCCTGCATATCTCAGAGGCGCGCGCGCTGCTCATACGTCCTACGTCATCCGCTTGCTCGACTTACGCGTACGACAGTCAGCGGAAGTGAGAAAAAAGTGTTTATTACGTTTGAAATATGGATATTTATCTTACAAAAATGCATGGTTTCGCTACAGGAGGCCTTTATTCACCCCCCGAGCCGTGTGAGGGACGTTTTATTACGGATGCGTGCACTTTATTTCACGTCTTCTGAACTGTTTACAACCAACACCCGTTTACACCCCATTGAAAGGCTTGGAGGGGCCAGGACAATTTTTAATATAACTTGGATTGGATTCGTCTGAAAGAAGAAAGTCACATACACCTAGGATGCTTTGAGGGCGAGTAAAACATAGGCTAATGTTCATTTTTGGGTGAACTAACCCTTTAAAACAATGATTAAATAAGAAATAGGGTGAGTCTGTGTCAGAAATCAAATCAATCTTGGTCTCTGTTTTTTTTTTTTTTCTCATTAGAACGGAATACTAAATAAGAAAGATACTTATCAGATTGCCTAGATTGCCAAAAATATATATATTTTATGGTTGTTCATATGGTTGTAATAACAGTTTTGTGAACAGCATGTATTAGTTGTGTTAATTATGTGACATGCATGTGAAGGTGATAGAGATACAATGCATACTTACCAATGACAGTAACATTGAAGATCTTGTCACTGATGGTGTTGCTAATGATCTGTAGTCTATAAACTCCAGAGTCTGTGGTTCTGGTGTCCATGATGGTCAGAGATCCAGTCTGACTGTCCAGCTTCAGTCTGTCTCTGAATGTCTCAGGACACTCAGCATCTGTACAGATATAACTCTGACCTCCAATTATTTGAGCGATGCGAGTGTCATTAAAATACCATTTTATTCTTTGTTGTGGGGTTACTGTCACATCAGTGTTTATAGTGACTGGATCTCCCTTCACAGACACTGACAATGACACTACTTCTTCACCATCACTGGAAACAGCTGTTGAAGAAATGAACATTTGTTATAAATCTGGGATAGTGGGACAAAAATATACATCAGTAAAGAGTTGTGATATTTTTTTTAACAGATTCAGAATGCCTGGATTATAAATGTAACAAGCAAATATACAAACATATGAATATCATTGATTTACATATTCACTCTTCAGACAAACATACATGAGTCTCAAGGGTGATATTGTGCATTTTATAAAAAATAAAAAATAAAATACATAATTGCGATCATTGCATATTTTCATATACTCTTCAACTCCTGTTGACTAACAACACTTTAAAGAGCTGGCAAATAACCTAGCTTTCCTCCATATCAGAACTCAAAAATACTATTTCATGTTTAAGATTAAAATAGTGCTTTTATTTTCTAATTACCGGTCATTTCAAAATACATGTTGATTGTCCAAGTATTTTGTGGAAAATGTCAATGTCTTTGGTTTTGCATGACACTGATACATTCAGTACAGCCTATTTTAGAGATATTAAAAACTATCCCTCTTATTTTGTGAAACAAAAGTAAGCTATTTATGTGCAAGATATCCAATTTGATGCTATCAAATTGGATATCTTGCACATAAATAGCTTACTTTTTCCCTGTAGGTAAATAGAAGAATACTAAAATAACAGTAAAACTATAAGAATAGACTAGTGAAGCAGAAAGTAAAACTATTTGTGCAGTGTGTTTAATTTTGCAATACATTGAAATAAAATATTATAAGAAATACCATGTGACAGTATAGAGTAGCATAATGAGCTGTTTTGTACATCTAAAAATAACTGTAAGTGGATAGCACGTGAGCAGATGACACCTGCTTTTATGTTCTTAAAGGGATAGTTCACCCAAAAATGAAAATTACCCCATGATTTACTCACCCTCCAGCCATCCGAGGTTTATATGACTTTCTTATTTCAGATGAAGACCTTCCAGAAGGCCTATATTAACCCCACAGAGTTAAGTACTTTTTATGATGGATGGATGCACTTTATTTTGCTTCAAAATCTAAACCAACATTCACTGACAATACAAAGCTTGAAAGAGCCAGGACATTTTTTTAAGTATTCGTCTGAAAGAAGAAAGACATAGACACCTAGGATGGCTTGAGGGTAGGGCTGTGCAAATAATCGAATGTGATAATCATGCACATCTCGTCAGTAAAGCTGGTTCTGTGATTAGTAGTAAATCTCCATCACATGCTCTCAGATGGAGCAGCATTACGCAGAGCCGTAGTTCACTGACAAGCTACGCAAAATCGCGTTCATTATCGCAGGCGATTCATCATGATTCATCACCGATTCATGGGTCATTTGTTTTTATTAAGGCTTTTCACACTGCGCTTAACCCCAGGTTATCGACGTTCTAAACACCGCTTTTAACCCCAGGTAAAGAAATGTTTCACACCTATAATTTAAAAGCGGTGTTTCGGAGTGGTGTCCGGAGCAGGGTTAGCACAGCATTTGCGGTGTTAACTCCGCATTGCGGTGCCAAGTTTGTTCAGTGTGAAATGGAGCGGTGTTTGCTTGTTGCTGCTGGACGCTTGGTAACAGACAGCCAATCAGAAATTGAGCAGTGAGGTTCATGTCACGTCAGTAACAGGAAACCCGCGTCGTGTAAACAGCAGCCGGTGAGAGAAAAGTAAATTCAATCAGTGACAGTGACACTGCAAATATGCAAATAACAACGTTAACCCGGGGTTTAGGAATGTACAGTGTGAAACATCTGTTAATGAATACCCAGGATTAACAGTTAACCTCATATAGTATGCTCATATAGCACTGCTCATATAGTATGAGCAGTGTAGGATGTATAGGATGACCCAGGGTTAACCATTTCAAGTGTGAAAAGCCCTATTGTTTAAATGCTTCTGAATGTAAAATTATTTAATGCTTATGAATTTAAAAACAATACAATTAGTTAGTCTTTTAGCTCCCTTTTCAGAAACATGTGGACTTACCAGGTTCACCATCATTTGTTACAGAATTGGGGAAAGTTACAAAAAAATGTCATATAGACTACTTGGTTTGAGAAAGTAGGGTAAAAAAATACTTGATATTTATTGCAGGTAAAGGATAATAACCTGGTGGTCAAATGTAAAATAAGAGTGTCATTAATATGCTATTTGGTGACCTTCTAATTTTATTTATTTATTTATGTATTATGTATTATTTTTGCAAGTTAACTTTCAATTTTTTTATTTGTGCAAGTTAACGTTCAGTTCTATTTTGTGGATTCTAGCAATCAACATATATTTATGACTGACACATGTTGGATGGGTGAGTAAGGGCGAGGGTTTTGGTATAGGGCTGGACAATAATTCAGTATCAATATGTATCACAATATAATTTTTTTCAATAAGGTGATATGATTTTTAAACCCATTTCTTATATTTTGATATACATTACCAGTGTTTCCCATACATTTAATTATTTGTGACGTTTGACTTGACAAAATCAAAATGCAGTGGTGTTTTTATATGAATGTATCTCTGAAGGGAACCGACTGTCTTCAAAAAAGTTTTGATGGCATTTCTATTGTATCTGATAAAGTAGCGTTCATGAGCGGAGCTGCTTTGATTACATCCTTTACTGGGGAAACTGCTGTTTCTACCGCTCTCAAAGCGCCTCCTGCTGGCAGAGAATCCGTTTGCATTTTCAATAAGCCTGCCTCCAGCAACAGGTTTTTGTTGTTGCTCAATTTTTTTGTTTTCTGCAGCAACTCAGAGCACTTTTCATACACTTTATCCTGGCTGAAGCATTTTTTTTTTCAATCTATAAGAATAATCAGCCTACACTACCAGTCAAAAGTTTTTGAACAGT